TGGGACTGTCATCTTCGCAACTGTAAATATTTTGGTTGCTTCTGTCCCAGCTGTTTCATCTTACCCATAACTGAAAAAAGAAAAACTCTGTGTTATGAATAAATCCAGGTTTTTCTTCCACAGAGCTAAAAAAGTTTAAAAATCTACTGGTCCTTGTTAAAGGATATACAAGTCAGAGGGAAACACAGTTTAAAGCAGTGACAAGAAAAAAATAAAAGCATTGTATATTAAAATTTTCAAAAAAATCTATCAATCCTTACAAAAAGACCCCAAAAGTGGACTGAGAATAACTCACAGTATGTCACAAGCCTAAAGAAAAAATGACAGTACATACTGTGCTTAGCCAAAGCCAGAACTGTGTTAGGACACAGGACCAACTTTTTCAGGTGCAACTCTGCAGTGTGGTAGGTTTGAAACCATAGAAAGCAACATGCTGGGAATGCCCTAACTTCCCATCACCGTATCTACCATATTACTTGCATCCTTTCCAAAAAAGCAAGCCTCCTCTCGGCAACTAAAGGCCAATCTCTGACTTTCTCAAGTATATTTCTCCTGCACCCATCTCTCCTCCTTTCAGGGCCTTCAAATAATCTCTTCCCTGGTCTTTCCCTTTCTGTTTCCCCATGCCTGCCTCCCCTCACACCTGATCCAGTTATCACATTCTCTCCATTCCCCTCAATGGTCAAGCATTCTCTATTTCCTCACCTCTCTCATACTCTTTTTTTTTTTTTTGAGACAGAGTCTCACTCTGTTGCTAGAGTACCCTGGCATCAGCTTAGCTCATAGCAACCTCAAACTCCTGGGCTCAAGCAATCCTCCTGCCTCAGCCTCCCGAGTAGCTGGGACTACAGGCATGTGCCACCATGCCCAGCTAATTTTTTTTCTTATGTATTTTTTTAGCTGGTCAATTAATTTCTTTCTATTTTTAGTAGAGATGGGGTCTCACTCTTGCACAGGCTGGTTTCGAACTCCTGACCTCGAGCGATCCTCCCACCTCGGCCTCCCAGGGGGCTAGGATTATAGGTGTGAGCCACTGGACCTGGCCTCTCATACTCTTAAACCTACTAAATTTGGCTTTTGCCACAACTGCGCCCTTTTCTTATCAACGTCACTGCACTAATTTCAGTGTACTCTTCATTCTGCATTCTTTCCTTCTTCAAATAGTCTCTTCTATTAACTTCTATGATGCTACCCTCTCCTATTTTTCTGCCCACCTCCCAGACCCGACCCCCACATGTTAGATTTCCTCAAATCCTGATCCCGGATCACCTTTTCTGCTCACCATATACATTCTCCCAAGGCACATCTTAACCACTCTCAGGGATGTAAATACCATTTGAGCTCTGATGATTCCCCAGAGCTACTTGACTAAATGATGGTATTAACACAATTTTCTGGATCTTGAACCGCATCTCTAAAGAATCCCTTCACATTCCAGCATTATGGTTAAAGTTGGGTCCTGGATCTTCCATGATGACAGTGCCCCCTAAGCTTTCTCTATCATGCCTCTTGTAGTGGGGCCTCAGGGTAGGGCATAGATGTTCTGCTTATTCCCCATTGTCACCCCAGGCCACTGTTCCTCCCTTCCTGCCTGAACCACTCAGCTCTGAAGCCCAAAGAAACAGACACCACCTGCTACCCCTACTTGTTACAGTGATTAATATTTAAAGATTTCTCTCAGTCCTTGAAGATTTTAATTCCTAGCCCCACTGTCACTCTCTCCTGCCTTATTCTTTTTTTTTTTTTTGAACAGAGTCTCGCTTTGTTGCCCAGGCTAGAGTGAGTGCCGTGGTGTCAGCCTAGCTCACAGCAACCTCAAACTCCTGGCTCAAGCAATCCTCCTGCCTCAGCCTCCCAAGTAGCTAGGACTACAGGCATGCGCCACCATGCCCGGCTAATTTTTTGTATATATTAGTTGGCCAATTAATTTCTTTCTATTTATAGTAGAGATGGAGTCTCGCTCTTGCTCAGGCTGGTTTCGAACTCCTGACCTCGAGCAATCCGCCCGCCTCGGCCTCCCAGAGAGCTAGGATTACAGGCGTGAGCCACCGCACCCGGCCGTCTCCTGCCTTATTCTTAATGATTTCAACAGCCATATGTTTCCTAATACTCCACCTTCTAAGTTTCCTAAATTCCTCTCCTCTATGGTTGCCCTCAACTCTACTAAGTAGATCATTTTCAACTGCACATAAATATACTACTATATTTCCTCTACTCCATCATTGCTCTCCAGCTACCACGTGATTTCTCCACCTCCCTTACAGCAATACCCCTTGAAAAAGTTGTTCTATACTCACAACTCCTCTCCTTCCCTTCTCTCTTGAACCCACTCCACTGAGGCTTTTGCATCTATTGGAGTTCTTGACAAGGCCACCAGTGACATCCATGATGCAAAGGTCGATTTTCATTTCTCATTTTATCTGACTTACATACAGCACTTGATAGTTTTTCACTTGCCTCCTTGAAATCTATCCCTTGGCTTCTGGGACACTACTCTTTTTGTTCAAATCTCACTTTAGTTGTTACTCCTTCTCGGGCTCCTTCAGTGGTTCCTCATTTTCCTAACTATTGGAGCTTTCCAGGATTCACTCCTCAGACCTCTCTACACAAGTGTTCCCAACTGGGGGCAATTCTGCCTCACTTCCCAAGGACATTTAGTAATATCTAGAAAGATGTGTGGTTATCATAATTGGGGTAAAGATGTGGGTGTGCTATTGGTGTGTGTGTGTATATATGTGTGTGTGTGTGCGCGCGCGTGTAAAGAACCCTGTCTCAGGGTTCTTTGCACTTTTTGTTCCCTTCGCTTGGAAAGCTCTACCTAAAATGCTCATCTCCCAAATATTTTTTCTTCTGCTCAAATATCAACTTACCAGTGGATATTGCCCAACGCAGCAATGTGGCTCATTCCCACAGTTGAGCCCCCAGCTCAATTTATATATTAATAAAACATTAAATCCTATAGGCATTCCTCTTCCCCTGCTTCCCTGTTTTCTATTCCACTTATCACCTGACAACCTACCTATATTTGGGTTTTTGTTATTGTTGTTATTGCCTGTCTTCCTCCACGAGAGCAGGGACTTTGTTTTGTTCCCTGCTATATCCCCAGTCCTAACTAACTGAAACATCAGGCACACAAAAAAATTTCTTAAATAAATGAAATTTGTATCTCTAACATAAGTCTCTCTTCTGAGCCTTCGATCTATAAATTTCAATGCCTACTTTACATTTCCAAAGGGCTGCTGCCCAAGTACTTCAAATTTAGTATGTCCAAAAGAATTATTCAAATCTGTCCAAAATCTCAGTAAATGGCAACTCCTCCCCAACCATATCTGGTTAGTCACAGCTAAAACCAGGGAGCTGCCAATGCTTCCTCCCTTTCCCTTACGATCCCCTACCCTACATTCAATCTATCACCAAGTCCTAGGGAATCTACCTTCTAAATGTATCTTAAATCCATCTTCTCTTTTCCTAGTCATTCCCACAATTGAGCCACCAGAATCCTTTAAGTGGGCCATCATAAAAGCAAGTCTGTTTTGGTATTATACTCATCCAACCCAAATCCACTTTCCATAAAACAGACCAATATTCTAAAAATGCAATTTTCATCATTTTAGTAACTCTTCAAAAACCCTTCAGTGATGGTTCAATGTTCTTAGAGTCAAATCCAAAAATCCTTAAAAATGACCCAAGGGTAACATGGTCTGAATCCTGCCACCTCTCCAGCCTCAGCATCTCTCACATCACTTTCTGTTTTCTCCATTGCATTTAAGCCACACAGACCTCTGGTCAGTCCCTCAAACCTGTCAAGGCCTGTTCATATGGTGATCCTGCTTGCTGGACTGTTCTCTGCCCCACTCCGCATGCCTGGCTAACTTTTCATGCTTCAGATCTCAGACTAACTGAATTCCTTAAAGTTCCTTCCTACTCCACTAATAACATTTAGTTCTCCCATTATCCTCTCATAGCCCCTATACTTTTCCTCCAGGGCAAGTATGAAAATTTGTATTTATATACCTGTGTTGTGGTAATCAGTTTAATGTCTCTTTCCTCCACAAAACTGCCCCATGAAAGGCAGATCCACATCTATTCTTACACTGCTACATCACCTTGCATAATGAAAATGGTAGTTGTTTTTTTCATCATTTCATCCCGGTACCTAGCATATTGCCTGATGTGTTGAACCTCTAATCATATTTGTGGAATGAAGAAAGCTATAAAGCACTACATAATGGGTTCATTTTTAAAACTGGTTTTATAAGCTTTATCCACTAAGCTACATTCCCTGTTTTCAGTGTTGTTTGGGGGGTACCTCTTCTAGAACTCTGTCTCCTTAGTCTTCCCCTGATTCTGACATGAATTGAAAACAGTCTTTCTCTTTTTCCTAAGTGTTGATTACTGCTTCATAGAATGACACTGGCAACAGCCGAGAAAAACGTATACGCTGAACCCTACCTTCCAGGGGGTTTTGGCGAACCACAGCACTTACCAATGAATGAACCTGTTTCTGGTGATGGAGAACAACTTGCCACTTTCCACATAGTAGAAGCCTCCCGCGCTCTCACTGTATTTCACAGCGCCAGTCACAGCATTTGCTGTCCCTGCAAAATGAACGCGGTCAGCCTGAAACATGGTTCTCTAGAGATAACAGAGATTGAGGCTCTGAGAAAGCAGAGGGTGACGGATTGACAACCCACACAAAGGGAAGGGAAAGAAAAGACGAAGACGTCGGACACCAAGGAAGCTCTGATCCAGGGGTTATAGGCATGTGGACTCAGGAGGATGAACCAGGGGTAGTCAGAAACCCAAGGGAGGAGGCCGAGGGGAAGGACCGGATCGCGCCCTCCCTGGTCATTTCCGTACCAACGCCGCTGACTGTGAATTCCCGAAAATGCCTCGGCCTTTCGCGCTCGGCTCCGCTTAGCTCCACGAAGCTCCGTTCCAGGGCTCCCGCCGCCGCCATCTTCCCGCCGCCGCCGCGATGCCCGACGGGACACGGGCAGGGCCGCGCGGCCGTCGTCACTTCCGGGGGCCGGGCGAGGGGGAGCGGCGGACAGGTGAAGCTATGTGGGGAGGAAAAGGCGGGACCGACTCTTTATGGCGGGGCTTTTACCGTGAGAATGAAGGTGGGCGGGGAGTAAGCCAGATGAAAAAGGGGCTGTGGGCCGGGCGTGGTGGCTCACGCTTGTAATCCTAGCACTCTGGGAGGCCGAGGCGGGCGGATTGCTCAAGGTCAGGAGTTCAAAACCAGCCTGAGCGAGACCCTGTCTCTACTATAAAAATAGAAAGAAATTAATTGGCCAACTAATATATATATATATATATATATATAAAATTAGCCGGGCATGGTGGCGCGTCCCTGTAGTCCCAGCTACTCGGGAGGCTGAGGCAGTAGGATTGCTTAAGCCCAGGAGATTGAGGTTGCTGTGAGCTAGGCTGACGCCAGGGCACTCACTCTAGCCTGGGCAACAAAGCGAGACTCTGTCTCAAAAAAAAAGAAAAAGGGGCTGTGGTAGCCGACTCTCTGCGGGATCCTTCCGTTGGCTAGCTCGCATGCTCCGGAGGGCGGTGCCCTTTTCCCCGCGGCCTCAGAGCAGGGGGCGGCGCCGGGTTTGTTTCCATTTTAAAAATGCGGGCGCCGGCGGCGAGCCTGTCTCCCGAAAGGGGTGAGGTCGGAAAGGTCTGGCGGTTCAGCAGACTTGGGATCCGTCCTCTGCTGACCCCCAAGTTTGAGATCACCTCTCCCTCCGTCAGAAGATCTCCTCTGGGTCTCCCTTTCTTCACCTTTCAGCGACACGTGGGAAGAGGGGAAGTGAAGGGGAGAGGGGCCTTTTGGCATTTTTTTCGAGAGGCTATTCGTGTAATCTATTGTAATGAAACATAATAATGTGTTTAATTAAGCATTGATGCTGCAACCTGCTGAAGTTACATAAGTGTTACTTGTAGAGCAGAGATGAGTCAACACTACTGAACTCTGTCCAAATTGCAGATTCATGAGCTAAATACATGATTGCTATTTTTAAATTTAAAAGAAAATTTAAAAAAAAATTTTTTCTTATTCTTAATTATTCTTTTTCCTCAGAAACATATGAACTCGACAGGTTGAAAAAGAAAATTTTTTAATATGGGGTTTCAATATGTTGCCCAGGCTGGCCTCAAGCTCCTGGACTTAGGAGATCCTTCTGCTTCATTTTCCTGAGTAGCTGGGATTACAGGTGTGCACCACTGTGCCCAACTAGGTTTTCTTATTTTTTGTAGAGATGGGGTCTCACTGTGTTGCCCAGGGTGATCTTGAACTCCTGGTCTCAAGTGATCCTCTCACCTTGGCCTCCCAAAGTGCTGGGATTACAGGCATGAACCACTGCAGCAGGCCATTTCATTATTGCTACTTTAAACCATTAAAATTTTTGGTAGCTTGTTAGGCAGTGATATATACCAGGAACATTTTTTTTCCCTTAATGCTTTTCTTCCGACAGCCTTCAACGTTTCATTCTTAGATCACTGAAACAACTCCCTAATTGATCTTATTCTGCTCTTGCTCTCCCTGCCTCTCCATTTTACAAATGCACTATGAGGTAGATGTTCCTAAAAACCAATTATACTGTGCTGTTTCTTCTTAAAAACTTTCAGGGATTCTCTGTTGTCCTGACTTTCAAGGCCTTTCCACCTATTCAACTTTATCTCCCTTCTTTGCACGCCTGAAGGTCCTTGAGTGAGAAACACTTACTTGTCCCAATTGTACACTGCCTTCTTCATATTGTGGTATCCTAACTTGAGTCCAAGTGGGAGTTAGTCATATCTGGGCACGTCTGTCAAACTGGTGAGATTGGCATGCTGGAAACCTATTTTCAAGGGGACTAAAAAGAGTCTTGGTAAACAATTTTGCTTTAGGGGAGAGCGAACCCTGTTGCAAATCTATGCTATGGGACCTAGTTGTAGTGGAGGGATCATTTTGAGTACAATATGATCTGTTGCTCTCCCCAGCTGCCACTGGATTTGCATCTGAGGCCTTTGGAGAGCTGAGTGGAAGACTAAAAGAAAAAAGAGACCAAGTTCATTACAAATTCTATAAAACATTGAGGAGAGAGCCACTATTCCCCTTGTGCAAATGACCCCAGAACAGTTTTGCCCATTTAAAGGCTTCAGCACATTGGAGGAGATGCCTTCTAGAAGTCTGTGGTGGCCAAAGGGATGGGGTAAGTACCTGGCAAGGACTCGTGTCCAATAGAGCAGGGCTGGTTCCCTAAAAAGACTGGAGCCCGGCACAGCAATTCTTAACCTGGTAGAGTTATCTAGATTGCCTGGAAATGGATTGCTTCATGAGAAGGTTATTTCATGAAAACAGACACCCTGTGGGTATTCCCAGAAATGCTTGAGGGACTCTTTAGCAGAGATTGAAGCTGCCTGAGTGGGTAGGGGGAAAAGTTAGTGCAGTTTGTTCATGTTTTTAATGGAACTGTACTTCCACCATGGGTTGGGGTAATTTGAGTTTTACTGTATTGAACTACTTCACTTGGATATATTAGTCATCTTTTTATTAGAATTCTCTAGGCTTTATTATATGAGTTTTCTATTGCTGCTTTAATAAAGTACCTCAGATTTAGTGGCTTAAACAACATTTCTTATCTTTCATTTGTATAGGTCAGAAGTCCAATGTGGGTCTCACTGGGTTAAAATTAAGGTGTCAGCAGGGCTGTGCTATTTCTGGAGACTCTAACGGAGAATCTCTTTCCTTCTCATTTCCAGCTTCCAGAGGCCACCATATTCCTTGGCCCCCTTCCTCCATTTTCAAAGCCAGCAATATTACATCTCTCCCTGACCTCAGCTGGAAAAAGTTCTCTGCCTTTCAGGATTTATGTGATTAGGTTAGGCCCACCTGAATAATCCAGGGTAATCTCCCCATCTCTAAATCCTCAAACTTAATAACAAAGTTGCTATGAACTCTGAACTATAAGGTAACATATTCACAGGCTCCAGGGCTTAGGACATGGACATCTTTGGGAGAGCCATTTTTCTACCCACAATGTTTATGATTTATTAAATATTTATATACATTCTACTTTCATCCTCATAGGGTAGTATTATTCCTGTCAGGTAGATAACTTTTCTGAAGCACTTGTTAACAATATAGTTTTTATCAGTTGTCACCACACTAATCCACAGCTCAATCTTAGCATTACTTGTGAATAGGGACAACCAGGCATAAAGTAGTTCCTGGTGTGATACAAAATATAGGATGCAGCATCACCTGCAAACCATTTTTTTTTTTTTTTGAGACAGAGTCTCACTTTGTTGTCCAGGCTAGAGTGAGTGCCGTGGCGTCAGCCTAGCTCACAGCAACCTCAAACTCCTGGGCTTGAGTGATCCTTCTGCCTCAGCCTCCCGAGTAGCTGGACTACAGATGCGCCACCATGCCGGCTAATTTTTATATATATATATATCAGTTGGCCAATTAATTTCTTTCTATTTATAGTAGAGACGGGGTCTCGCTCTTGCTCAGGCTGGTTTTGAACTCCTGACCTTGAGCAATCTGCCCGCCTCGGCCTCCCAAGAGCTAGGATTACAGGTGTGAGCCACAGCGCCCGGCCTGCTGCAAACCATTTTTAAGCAGCTTTAAGTTATAATTCACATACCATAAAATTCACCCCTCTGAAGTGTACAATTCAATGGTTTAAGTCTATTCACATAGGTTTGCAACCATCATCACAATCAAATTTTAGAACATTTTTATCACCACACACCCCGCCCTAGAAACTCCATACCCATTAGCAGTCACTCCCCATTTCCCCTCCTCAGCCCCTGGAAACTACCTAGTAATCTACTTTATGTTTCCATAGATTTGCCTATTCTGGACATTTCATATAAATGGAATCATACATATGTGTTCATTTGTGTCTGGCTTCTTTAACTTAGCATAATGTTTTCAAGGTTTACCCATGTTGCAGCGTCAGTCACTACTTATTCCTTTTTATGACTGAACATTAATCTGTTGAATGGAATTCCATATATTATTTATACATTCATCAGTTCTTGAGTATTTGGTTTGTTTCTACTTTTGGGCTATAATAATAAAATAATATAATAATTATACTATAAATGTTAATATTACATAATAATGTTGCTATGAGTATATAAAATATTTTTTAAAATATAGTTTGATTAATTCTAGGGGTACTTACTAACAGAAGACTTCTTTAGCAAATACTTGTTTTTATATTTAAAAAATCAGTGAGATAGAATTTTAAAAATCTTAATTTACAATGCATTGAACTGCAGACAACAATTGCTACATGTATCACAGACCAGCACTGGTGAAAAGTTTTTCCCAAATGTTTATAAGACTTTGTATCTTCCTTTATTTGTTGGTTGGTATGAATTTTGCAGCCGGATCAGTTGTTCTTTTATGAGCATGGTGATTTCTGCCTTTGTTTTCTGCACAGCCAGTTCATTGGCACTTTCAATTGCCAAGTAAATTTTCCACTCTCCTTCCTTGGGTTCTTTGCCAGGAGGGAAGTATGTTCCTCTGATTGTAATTGCAGCTTCAGAGTATTCACTGATTCTCTGCAGAGCTTCCTTAGAAGTAACTTTCCACCTAGCAGTCTGTGGGAAATCATTGATCTCTAATTCTTCCTCGTGTCTCTTAAAATATTCATTCTGTCCACCATCCTGTCTCTCTTCTGAACATATAAAATATTAATGCCAAAAATGTTTAATCCAGATTGTGATAGAATAGCCCTCCATAAACCTGTCAGTGTCCTAATCCTTGGAACCTGTGAGCTCACATGGCTAAAAAGACTTTGCATGTGTTATTAAAGTTAAGGACCTAGAAATGAGTATTCTGGATTATACAAGTGAGCCCAATCTAATCACATAGTCATTGAAAGAAGAGACTGTTTCTCTGCTGAGATCAGAAAGAGAAATGTGAGGACAGAAGAAAGGTCGGAGGTATGTGATGTTGCTGGCATTTAAGATGGAGAAAACGGGGTGGGCGCGGTGGCTCATGCCTGTAATCCTAGCATTCTGGGAGGCCGAGGTGGGCGGATTGCTCAAGGTCAGGAGTTCGAACCAGCCTGAGCAAGAGTAAGACCCCCGTCTCTACTATAAATAGAAATAAGTTAATTGGCCAACTAATATATATACAAAAAAAAAAAATTAGCCGGACATAGTGGTGCATGCCTGTAGTCCCAGCTACTCGGGAGGCTGAGACAGAAGGATTGCTTGAGCCCAAGAGTCTGAGGTTGCTGTGAGCTAGGCTGACGCCATGGCACTCACTCTAGCCTGGGCAACAAAGTGAGACTCTGTCTCAAAAAATAAATAAATAAATAAATAAGATGGAGAAAACGGGCAGTGAGCCAAGGAATGTGGTCAGCCTCTAGAAGCTGGAAAAGGCAGAGAAATGGATTCTCTTCCAGGGCCCTGCTGACACCTTGACTTCTGCCCTTAGCTGAAGGGAGCTACCTATGGTTATGCCGCCTGCATCCAATGATGGGTCAGTGTGGAAGTATAAAGGTCTAGCCCCCTTTCCTTGATCTAGACTCTGAAGGACCATCTAAACTCCAGACCACCCTGTAGGATTGGCCAAGGCCTCTGTTGCTACTGCATTGCAGTTCATCTCTCAATTATGCCTCCTTAGAGGTGCTCCCCAATAAACCTTGTGCATGTAAAGCTCTTTCCTCAAGTCTGTTTTCTGGGGAATCTGACAACACACACACCCACCCCTTGCCTAAGGATGAGCAGCCAGCAGGGAAAGAGAATTTGGAAAAGGAAAGAGTTTAGGGAAGATCTATTCTAAATTCCAAAATTGATGATGAAATACTGGAAAGAACATCAGCTGGGCATTAGAAGGCTTGGATTTAAGTTTTAGCCCTGTCTCAACTAGCGCCTTGTCACTTGGCAAGCCACTCAACATCTGTGTCTCTGTTTCTTAGAACAGGGTGATCTTCAAGCTCTCTTCTGGCACTAAAGCTCCAGGGTCGGTGGCCTAACAGCCAGAGACAATCTTCACCTTCATCCCTCCTTAATTTCCAGGCTCTGAACTGAACCCATCTTGTGGGGACAGAAACTTCCCAAGACTAACGACTGAGCATGACATCCCTGAGTCAAAATTGACTTCTGGTGCACACCTTTGGCCAGTTATCTCATACTGGATCATTTGTTAGATGCTTATAAAGCACAATGCTTTCCATACACAGTATTTTCTCAATTCTTTAATGTATACTTTAAAATTTTTCATGTTTGTAAAATATCAATGTGTCATGCAATCAATATGTGCATATTTAATGTAATCACATTTCTTTTTTTTTTCCTCAGAGGCATCTTTCAGTTTCCTAGGAATCTAGGAATTACAGTTTTTTTTCTTTTTTGTTTTTTTGTGACAAGAGTTTTGCTCTGTTGCCCAGGCTAGAGTGCTATGGTGTCAGCCTAGCTCACAGGAACCTCAAACTCCTGGGCTCTAGCGATTCTCCTACCTTAGCCTCTGAGTAGCTGGGACTATAGCCGTGAGACACTGCTCCGGCTAATTTTTCTTTTCTTTTCTTTTTTTTTCTTTTTTGGGGGGCCAGGGTAGAGATGGAGTCTCACTGTTGCTCAGACTGGTCTTGAATTCCTGAGCTCAAGTGATCCTCCCACCTCAGTTTTTTGATAGTTAGCTCCTTAGGTTTGGATCACTGTCTCATTCTTCTTACCTCCAAAATCCATAAGAGAGGCCAGGCGCGGTGGCTCACGCCTGTAATCCTAGCACTCTGGGAGGCCGAGGCGGGCGGATTGCTGGAGGTCTGGAGTTCGAAACCAGCCTGAGCGAGACCCCGTCTCTACTAAAAAAAAATAGAAATAAATTAATTGACCAACTAAAAGTATATATACAAAAAATTAGCCAGGCATGGTGGTGCATGCCTGTAGTCCCAGCTACTCCGGAGGCTGAGGCAGTAGGATCGCTTGAGCCCAGGAGTTTGAGGTTGCTGTGAGCTAGGCTGACACCACGGCACTCACTCTAGCCTGGGCAACAAAGTGAGACTCTGTCTCAAAAAAAAAAAAAAAAAAAATCCATAAGAGTTCCGGGAATTTAAATGTTTGAGGAATAACTAAATGAATGAATAAATGCATATATGCATTTCTAGAAAATTTAAATACCTCTTACACTATTACTAGTCTGTGGTATGGTTGTAACATAAATTGAATCATATTGCCATCTAGTGGT